AGAATTTCTTCTTCTCTATTTGTTTGCTTCAATTATTTTTTGATTGTCATGATCAGATGTGGTGATCTTCTTATGCTGATTTCATATCTCTTCGATTGAATTCCGTATTAACTTTCTTTTTTTGAAGATCATCTTCGCTTGATGATATTTCATCAGCTACTACCACATTGGGGTTGAGGTCATTCACAATTTGTGTTTCAGATGAGTCAGATATAGTGTGATTTATCTCATCTTTCTTCTTTTCTTCTTGTGTAATTTTATTTTGTAATTTAAATAATTTATCTTTCAAGAAGTATACTTGTTGTGATAAATTGCTTACTTCAGACCTTTTCCTTTCTGATTCAGCATGGAATTCGATTAATTTTCTATTAATTTCTTGTTTTTGAGTGTTTATCTCCTTCTCATGCTTCTTCTTTAATGACATAATGTCATTTGATAATTTATTAATGGTCTGGTCCTTCTTTTGTATTTCTTCATTTCTTCTTTCTCTTTAATAGCCTCCTCTATTCTTTTCTTTAATTCTTCTATTCTTTTATCTTTTTCATTGTTCTTTTCTTCCTCTTCTTTTAATTTCATCTTTTCTTTTTCATTAAGCCTCTTCTTCTCTTCATTGTCCCTCTTTTCCTCAGCAAGCCTCTCCTTTCTCTCTTTCATTAGCCTCTCTTTCTCAGCAAGTCCCTTCTTCTTCTCCTCAGCAAGCCTCTTCTCCTCTTCTACTAGCCTCTTCTTCTCTTCAGCAAGCCTCTTCTCCTCAGCAAATTCATTTTCATCATCATTTTCATTATTGTATATTTCTTATTTAAGTATTTATCGTTTATTTCATTTTGATTTAATTGTTTATCATCTTCTTCAAGTGTCATACTGATCGTTTCTTCTTCCATTCTAATCATTTTTGTTTTTTCTCTTGCAAGTAAATACCATCTTCTCATTATTGTTGATGGTGTGTATTCCTTAATCTTAGTGTTCTTAATTTCTTCTATTTCTTGTGGTGTAAGTATTTTGGTTTCTTCTTCAAATAGTCTTTTCAAATATTCTTGTTTTGTATTTCTATCATTTCTTTTCTTTTATTTCTTATTTGTCGTTGCCTTTTATTATGGTATTGTTTATATCTATGATGTGTTTTATGATGTGTTTTATTTGTATTATAATATTGATTGCTTCTATTTGAATTATTGATAAAATACTTATGATGATGAAAATGACTGAAGTGATGAGTGAAACGATTCTTACCATTATTATTATAATTGTTGTGATAATTGTTATGGTGATAGTTAATATTATGGTAATGATTAATGTGATGATTAATGTATTTCTGTCCATACAGATAATACCTGTTTTCACTCATTATTCTATCATTTATATTTCTTGGTTGGTATGGATTTCTCCTTCTTTTGTTATTGATTTTTTTATAATTTTTGTGGTGTCTCCTGTAATGCTTCGGCATCTATATAAAAATAATGACAATAAATATTAAATAGAAATAAAACAATATATTCAATTAGAATAATAAAAGAATAATAAATATAGATATTTTATCATTAAAGTTTTTATGGTTATTAAAATCATTATCTATGCTATTAGGACTATTTATTGTTTTATTTCTATTATCTCTTTCTTCATTGTTCTTTCCATTTTCTTGGTTATCTGGTGTTGTTATCATCTGGTTTTTCTTGATGTTGGTTAAATGTTATCATATATTATAAGTGGTTGATTTTCATTGTGTTGATGTGGGAGTTAGTTTGATGTTGGTTGATATTCATTATTTGTTCTCTCTCATGGCCATATATTTATTGAGTATTTCATTCATTTATTTGTGACACTATCATTTATTTTTCTCTCATTTTTTGTTTTTGATGTTATCTATAATTTATTCATTTTTCAAGCTTCCCTATTTATTTCTATTTTATATAAATTGTCTATTCATTTATATTTATTTGATATATTTTAGTGTGTATAAATTCTTTGTTTCTTTTTTTTTTCTTTACTGATAATATACTCTATTATACTTGTAATTACAATAACCAATATAATTGTATCATTGAATATTTTTTTTTATTTAAGTTATTCTCTTTAAATATATTCATTTCTTTACTTCTTTTAATTCTTTTTTATTTCATTTTATTATCCTGTATTATAGGTTCGTTTTCATTTATAATGAATCATTCAATTAGATATTTGTTTTATTTCATTGCTTTGTTCTACCATTCTATTTTGTAATTCGTTAATAAATGAAACGAAATATTAAATTAAAATTTAATTCAATTTTGTAATTCATTGAAAAATAAAGAAAATAATAAAAGTAGATAATTAAGTATTAATAGAAATATTTTGTATTGTTCCTTGCTCAAGGGAGACTAATCCCGTCCTTCGCTTTAAAGGTATTTGTTCATCAACTATTGGCTTATTCTTTGATTTTAGTTGTTGAATTATGACAATTTCATTTTCTCATTTATTTGATATGAAATAAAGTATTTTAAATATCTATTATTCAAATATTCATTATTTAATTTCTTTTTAATTTTGATGAGTATTAAAACTCTTCTTTATTTTATTATTTTAAGGAGAATATATAATACCACTATATTGTTTTAGGCTAATATTCTTTTTTAACCTCAACCACTAGACCCTTTTTCTTTAATAATCTTATACTATCAAATTTACTTGTATCATAACAAGTAATAATACCATCTTTATAAATACCCATTCTTTTATTGTCAATGATATTCTGTCATTGTACATAATAATCACTGTTATTCTTGTAGTATTGATTATGATGTTTTTCTAACCAAACGCAACGTCATAACCAGTCCATAACTGGGGGAATCGAATGATGGAAATATTTTAGGGAACTGTGTAGTGTCTCTGACGTGCTACCTTCGAACCTCCATTCAGTACAAAGAATAAAATAATAAAAAATTGTTTACAGTTGTTTAGATTTTGAATTATATTTATCTAAGGTAATAGTATAAGAAGAAATTTCTTTTTCCGTTTTATCCTTAAGTTAGTGGTTTATTTCATTAGTTGAAAAAGAACAATAAGATAGTGAATTATTTTTTTTAATATCAGAATAATGTAATAAGTCAAAATTCTCTTAAGATTGTTGTTTCTCTAATTTAATGAATTGAGAAATTACATATGAAATAACTTCTTTTTCAACATTTTTTCATTTTTGTTAAAGTTAAAATATAGCCATCCTTTTGTGACGTCTTATAACTTTTTCCATTTGTAATGTTTTCTTTGTACTTTTAGTTGATCTTTTTTCAAAAATATATCCTAATTGTTCTAGAGTTTCAACTAACCAATTAAATGATAAAACACAATAACTTAAATATCTTCTTCTTCTTAATGATTTTATTTAATTAAGAGACATGTCAGTAACAATTTTTGTTTGAAATTATTTATCAACATACTTTCAATTTTTTCCAAAACTAAGAAGTTAACCTTTAAAAAATATGTAATATTACTTGGTGAACCAATAGACACTATAATGTCATTTAGAGAAGTATCAGACATTTCTGTTGTTATATTGATCTTGTTATCATACAGAATAAATGATAATTTTAATGACTATTCATCACTAGTTATTATTTTAATCCTTCTTGATCTTCAAATACAAAACCTTTTGTTATACATGTTACAATTTCAAGTTTCTTTCTGATATCAGAAAGAGAAATGTTCTTATTGAATTGTTTATTTATTAATGGTTTTCCATTCAAACATATTCCAATAGTTACAATATCCATTTCTAGTGTATTTTCTTTCTCATTTTTAAGAATAATTTCATCATTATTTATTATATTTTCTACTAAAAAAATGTTTCTTCATATTCTTTTTCAATTATATCATTGTCGTATGTATAGAAATGTGCAGATTCTGGAATATTTTGATTTGATTTTCTGATATCACTTAACTTGCTTTTCTTATCTACTTGAATAGTGGTAATTGTTTTATCATTTAATTTTATTTTTACTTCCTTTTTTATCTGCTGTTTCTTTGATATTTATTATTCTTGATGGTTCAATTATATCTTCTACAATAAAGCAGTCTTCATCATTTATATCAATTAAATTTCCTTCTTTTGATAGAAAGTGTTAAGAATCAGATATCTTTTAATTTCTCTCTTATTGTTTTCAAATTGTCTTGTGAATTCATTGGTCTATTTGAAATGAATTATCCATTCAAATAGAATTTTACTATTAATTTTAACATTTAATAAATAATAAGTTTATTTTGTAGTTTAAATACAGATAATTCAGAAATATGTTATTTGTTTAAAAGTGTTACTTCTTTTCTAATTGGTTAATTCTTTTAAACATCATTTATTTTATTATATTATTCTGTTTTATTTTAAGATTTGAAATAGCATGTCAGAGAAAATACTACATAAAACTCTAATGTCAAAAATTTGAATCATAATTATCATCTGGCCATGATGTACCTTTGGTGAGATAACAAATAGCCCAATACTATTTAATATTTATTATGATGGGGGTATTATTATTTATCAAATGAAAGTATATTTATCAATAATAGTTTTGGGCTGAATACATGGTACATCATAAGAAAAAAGTGGCTCTTTAAGTGGTGTTGATGGTAAAGGGGATGGGCTATAGTCATAGTGTTATTGATATATTCTACATAGAATAAAAATATAAATAATAATATTCATTTAATTCAAAATAAAAATAATCAGGCAACAACTTAAATGAAAAACTATTTAATTCGATTATGTTTGAAAAAAAACTATTGTTTGAATAGAAATAAAGGATTTGAAGAAACTGATTTTGTTCATTTCTCAACATGATGGAAACATGGTCATAGGTAATTTATATTTGATTTCTTTGTTGTTATTTATAGAAAATTTTTTCTGACTAAAATATTTTTAATATTCAGAAAAAAATATCAATATTATTTGTGAATGAATAGATTATGAAAAAAAGAAATAAAATTTTTTATCAAAAACGAAATTATAAAGACCATAAACCACAAGAATAAGTGATTTAGACAAGAGAGCAATGAGAGCGATGGTCAGGGCCATGATCAGGTTTTTTACTATCATTACTAGAATTAATTCTTTTAATGAGAGTAGTAAGAATATCAGAAATTCTAATTTGATACTTAACAGAAACTTCAAGAAAATCAGCTCCATATTTGTCTGCAAGAGCTTTTCCATCATCTTGTGATACAGCTCTTTGGCTTTCAAGATCACACTTATTACCAACAACAATTATTGGTACATCCTTTGTATCTCTAATTTTAACAATTTGATTATAAATTGTATCAAGAGAATTGTATGTTGACCGTTCAGTGATTGAATAAACAAGAACAAATCCATTTGCAATTTTCATATATAAATCTCTCATAGCAGTAAATTGTTCAGTACCAGCAGTATGTAAAATCTCAAGGACATATTGTTCACCATCTAAGTCTAATAATTTTTTATTAGAACCTTCAATTATTGGTTCATAATTAACAAGGGACTCCTCAAATCTTAAAACAGTTCCTGTGACTCCTGAATTGGAGCCTCCAAATACTGCAATTTTATATTCTTTAACTGGCATTTCGTGTTATTTAAATAATTAATAGTTTTAATTCGAAGATTGCAGCCTTTTTATGATGTTTATTTTATTAGTTGTTTCTACTTTTTCATTTTATTTTTATTTTCCCTATTTTTCCTTTCATAAATATTAATAAATATTGTACAAGATTATTAAAAGATGTATCTTCTATTTTATCATCATTAAATATTATGAAATATAGTAACATCAATACAATTAGAAAGATTAATAATGATATAATCTCAAAATTAAGATATTGATTCTGTATTATCAAATGAAAACTTGGAGATTTTGAGAATATAGATAAACAAATAAGAAAATCATTGATACAACTCCAACTATAAAGTAGAAACATCAATAAAAGTAGATTATATGTTACAATAAATGAATTATGAATGTGATTAATGTCAGCACGAGATGAATGTGATAAGGAATTATTAAGAATATATTTAAAATATAAATATCAAATACAGAAATAAGAGAAATGATAGAAGTAGTAAAAGAGAATCCAAATGGAATAATTAAAAGAATGAAGAGAGCATTTTATAAGAAAGATTAATTTCAATGAATTAATATAATACAAATAAATGAAAGAAAACATGATATAAACAAAGTAATTGAATTTGTAACAAATAAATTAAATGAAAGATATTTAAATGAATTGAAAGAAATGAAGTGAATATATAAGAAATGTAAATTGTATATTTAATAATATGAAATTAACAGTAGCCACATGGATGTCATTAAATATAAAAAGAAATGCATTCCTCCAAGTAGTAAAGATACAAGAAGGAGTAACTATGACAGGAATTATTAAATCTAAAATACTCAATTGTGATGTTTTAAAATATTGTAAACATTGTACTAATACAATTCCATCTATTAGCCACATTTTGTTAGGATGTCATGTAATGAAGAATAATCAAATATTAAAACACGATTATGTATGTAATCAAATATATAAACTTATATTAATTACCCATTTTAATGAATTTGATGAAATAGATTTTAATGCCCCTCCTAAGTGTATTAATAATAATGAAATGGTTATAACTTACAATAATGATTTATTGGTTAGTGACAATTCGTTTAATGCTAGAAGACCAGATATATATTATCAAATCATCAAAGAAAAAAAAGGATATATTATTGATGTTGATAATGTCAAGACAGAAACATTGAATTAAATTATATTTACAAAATAAATAAATACAAAGAATTACAAGAGAAGCTAAGACAAAGTAGAGAATTAACTTATGTAGAAATAATACCTGTAATATTAACAATCAATTAATACATAAAGAAACAGTAAGAAGATTAAAGACACTAAAATTACAAATCAACTTCCCCAAAATACTACGAACAATCATTATAAAAAACATGAAAGACTTAATGTTCTACACATTCAACACTGGCAACACATTAGAAGATGAACCTTCTAATGTGAGTATGTTAGAAATGAACTCTATTGTAGAATTAGATCATATTGAATTCACTGAAACAATCACTTCTCAATATGAAGAAAATCCAATTATGGATATATCTATTAATTGATATTTTTTTTTTTTTTATTTGTTAAGTTCTTGTTTTCAATTTAAACATTCAATAAACATTCAATAAACATTCAATAAACATTCAATAAACATTCAATAAACATTCAATAAATAGTTATAGGAATATAGTTGATAAATAAACAAGAATAGAATATTTAGAAGAAAGAATAATAAAGAATAAAGAAGAGAATATAAAATGAAAGAATGATTTTAAAGAAAGGAAATAAGAATAGATAAAATAATAAGAATAAAGAATAAAAAGAAATTAATTGAATTAAGATAAACAGCATTTTTTAGAAGGATGAGAATGAGAATTTGATTGATATAGAAATGAAAAAGAATCATCTTGAGATGGAGGTTGTTTGATTATATCATTAATTTTATTAGATAAGATAGTAATGATATCAGAATGGATAGAATTACAAGCAGAACCAGTTAGAGAAGAAGAATAATACAAAGGAGGATAGTTCATTTTTTTAAGTTGTTTAAGAATTTGACGTTCACTTATAGTAGAAGGAAGATCTGATTTAGTTCCAATACAAAAGATAGGAGGAGGAAGAAGAAATTGATGAGAAATTCTTTTATAATAATATTTTAATGAATGAAAAGAATCTGAATTATTCATATCAAAAATAAGTAATAATAAAGTTGAACCTTTTAATTCATCTCCAAATAGGACAAATATCTATTAGAAT